ACCAGAGTACACACTGCATGTGAAGGGAATGCTGCTTACCTAACTCTACATTACACCTGAAACCTCCCACTGTCCCAGGTCCCCGATACCGAAATTTCAATACACCCAAAATTACATGTTTTACGGTATATGAGAGGTACAGGACACAGTAGCTTACGTATGGTGTAGACCTGAGTCATCTGTGGACCGTTGGCGTAGACGATTTGCCCATCGGCGCTGACGACTGGCTGCGCGGGCACTGCTGCTCCACCGGCTGCTGCAGGAACCACAGTTGCTGGCGGTCGCGTGGTGGACACAAGGTGCATCGGCTGTGCTTGACCCGGGGCCGCTGCTGCTGGCGCTGGCGCGGTCGACTGCTGTACGTTGTTTTGCGAGTGTGACGGCTTCGGCGCGGACGTTACGCCGACGGACGACGAGCTGTCGTGACCCGACTGCGAGAACAGAGAGCACGAGCAAACCGAAATACAAGACAAGGTTGAGCTGTGCTGGCCGAATGCAAGACAACAACGCAATGGCTCGTTCAGAGCAGATCTGCGCAACACCATACCCTACAGTTGTGTGCAATGAAATTCGATCTCGTCAGTCAACTACCGTCTTGCACTGTGCAGCTCTAGACTTGGGACCGCTGCATTATGCTCTGCAGTTTTAGATACCGTAAAGTCTTGTATAAAAGCCGCGGCTTCTATGACGTTCTCGGTGAAAATTTGCAGGCTTCTATATGAGACAGGCTTCTATACAAGACAGGTATTTCTATGTATGTCAATACTAAAACCAGGCTTATGTGTGATTTGATGGGCCCAAAATTGCGGCTTCTATTCGAGGGCAGCTTCTATACAAGACTTTACGGTAATGACATTTTTAGATTGGATATCATTGAGAAGCAGCACTGTAATTCAATTTGTGGCAGCATTCACTTTTGCCCTTCCTTATTTTCCGATGTGTTGCTAAACAAACGTGCCTCGCGATAAAAGAGGAACTGTTTGCACGGTAACATGTGTTGTAGTACGTTTTTTTTGTGTACGTCGTGTGTACGTCATGTTGGTGTATGCGCGTGTTGCTGTGGTGTGAAAAGCAGTCTTCGTCTTGAGTTCGTCACGTCTAGTTTTGTTTCCGTAGTCGTCTTGCAATAAACAGTCTTCTAAATGTAGTTATCGTCGTCCCTTTGTATAAGTGTGGAGATGGCACGGGACTGGGAGCACTGAGGTGGAGAAAAGGCAGTTACATTACAATGTCATGCTATCTTGAACGTATGATGAATCTTTGCATTGAACAAGGACAAATAGCAGTTGGATCTATTTTTTAAGGCTTGGACTTACTGAATCACACTTTTAGACAGGGCACTGAACATACCCGATAGGGCCAAACACGCCAACTAAGTATACAACCGTGACACGGAGTATAGTTGAATGGAAGATGGGTTGCCTTGACAAACATGGCGGAAAGGTCAGAGTGAGGACACGCTTTGCACAAGCGAACGGGTCTCTCGGCTTACCTTGCGTTTGCCATCTCGCTGATCGCGTTCCGACGCCGGCCTGGAGTCCCGACCACTGCCATGAGGACTAGCTGATGTGTTGGTGCGCACGCCATTCGCATGATGGCCAGACTCACTGCTCTTTGCTCCCTCCTAGCAACAGGAGCACAAAAAAGAAGAGGGAGTCATTCCTTTTCACTGGAGTTATCGAGTAACAGTTGTGCTGAAGCTATAGCCCCGTCATACGCCTGAGAGATCCCTGACTCAATTGTGACAATTGTGTGTATTTACGAGTGGGTCTTGGAGAAGCTGCTCCATCCTTCGAGATATGTAAAGTCCACTCCGATTAAGTCAAAAGCTAACCGATAAGCTAACTACTTATCTGCATACTCTGACCTCCAACTAGCAGGACAATTGGCCATTATGAAGAAATTTAGTACAAAAATATGTAAAAGGTCCAGCCTCATCGTTTTCATAGCTTTTCAAGAAAAACAATGGTTCACGTGAGTGATTGCGCGTGTGCGTGCACGCGTGTGATGTGGTGTGTGCGTTCTTGCGAGTGTGCGTGCATGTACGTGTGTGCATGCGTGTGTAACGTTGAAAACGGGCCGGAATTAATCTGAACGACTATTTCCAAGCACCAAACTCACATCCATATCCTCCTCAGCCTCATTGCGATCACTATGCTGTAGTCATGAACATCACAATGACGGAAGAAGCAGAAGGCAAAGAGGGAAAATACATGATAATGAACCGTACACATACATACAAGATGGGGAAATCGTAATGCAGCTTCTAACGCTAGGGTGTGTGAGATTATCACACGCTCCACAAGGAGATCAAACAACCGGCTGGTTCAATAGAGCAGTGTTCGTAGGGCATTGAAATAAGAGTTTCCTGCCCTAGAATGACCAGAGGTATCCTATGACTCCACCAAACTTTGACAATTTGAAGACTCTTCATGGCAATGTGCATGGAAACTGGAACCCTTGGCATACAATGACTCAGTTGGATATTCGCAGAGAAATTCTAAACGCACACCCTAGTATGTTATCTTGCAGTCAGTGCACAATCTTCACTCACATCGTTATGTTTGCGCTTTCTGTCACGTTTCGAACGACTGGAGATCTCGCGGCTATCATTAACGTACTCCTGCAAGGATTACAGCAGTACAGAACACATCTATCAGACACGAACTAGTAGTTACAGCTGGAAAGTTGTTTTTGGCAACGGGTATTCGATGTCCAGTGCTGTACCCGCAAAATAAATCCAGAAAAAAACATTCGGGGCTGGCTGCCTAGGGTGGGTCATGTGGGCCAGCATACACGATCGGATCCCCTATTCCCATGATCATGATGAAAACAATACACACGGGATCCACATGACTGGCAGTACATGCATTACACATGGAACATACCTCTCGACCGCCATGGCCTGGTGCTACTTGCTCTCCTGATAAAAAGAGCATGAAGAAAAAGAGAGAAATCATTTCTTAGTGACATTACCATTGTGTATTCCTGCACCACATACATCGGGTGTACTCAGCCATTTAGAGTGGTGCACATGCGCGACTCTAGCCAGCCCTGGCATCCAATCAGCATCCCTTACCATGATCACCAGTGCAGGTTAGTCAGACGCTATCCCTGATGTGATCGGCATACATATCCCAAGTCGGTTCAAGGATTGGGTGTTGCATGAGCACCTGAAACCACCGTCCAAGCCGGGTTATCAACCAGCGTTTTCATTTGTTTAGGTGAATAGATACTCATGCACATGACCAAAGAAACACAACCCAAACCGGATTAGCGTGTACCCGACTGATTTCTTTCAATCCGGTCCAGACACCCTCTCATCTAAGCTACTGCTTCGGGTACCCGACAGGAGAGGAACATCAGTACTGAGATTGTGCAGTATGTCAGCACAACACACAATGCCTTTCATCATAGAGGATGGTGGTGGTGGTGGTGGCGTTCCTACGGATGCACAAAGCTCAGTCTAACTGGGTATAGCGCGAACCGTGACATTGGTTCGGCACAACCCTGACAGAGGTAGTATGGTGCGCAAGCCCACGATAACGCCGAGACCATAAGTCGGTGTTGTGGGCTTGCCTCACCAGCACAGCCTTTGCGTTGCAGCCCCTACTCTCCCTGCTGTTTTGTTATTGTATACTCTGTTGTCTTCTCCCCTTCTGACGAGTAGGTTGTGTACTTAATAGTAAGAAAAAGTTAGAAAATAGGAGTGTCCACCCAGAATGCTCATGAGATGGCCTGTGAGCAGCCCGTCAAAAGCAACCTACCTGCATAGCGCGGTGCCTGCGTAACCATGGCGCCATGTGGAGGCATGGCATGAGCACCAGGCGGTACGTACATGACACCATTGCCGGGCACCGGTACTGCGTACGGCTGCTGCTGCTGGCCTAGCGCTGCCGACGGTACGGCTTGAGACTGTGTACGTACACCACACACACACAATACACACACACACACGCACACACGCACGCACGCACACACACATACACACACACAGCACAAAGGGAAAACACTAGAGTTAGTGTTTGGCACGAGTACGATATTATTGTAGCAAGCACCAGTCCCGTACCGTATTTCCCGGTGGACTCATTGCGCAATGGCGTAATTTGTACCGCGAACACCCCACACAGCCACCTGGGCATGGTTGTCTGCGGTGTTGAACAGTGCATTGCTGATCCCAGCGTACTCACATGTATTACTCATCTAATCCATACTTGGGTCTATCGTAAGTCACACTCGATTATACGTTGCACTCCCACTTTCAGTTGTAAGTCGAATCCCCTTCTTTGCCTGAGAGGCTAAGTGTAAAAAAAGTGTGACTTATATTCGGGGAAACATGGTATGTACGAAGCTCTGCCTTTCCTCGAATATCGTCACCCTATTACTACTAATTATCTATGAAAAGGACATATGGAAACGAGTTAAGAGTAACTCTCCACCACCGCAACTAGATACTATATACAGTCAGAAAGCTTAACTTAACTCGTTTCCATATGTCCTTTTCCTTTCTACTTTTATTATTGGCTCAATACCCGAGTTTCAAATTATCTACGAGGAGACAATAATTTAAATGTTCAGACACGCAATGCACGTTCCTGGACAAGTGACACGTGTGTGTCTGTGATTACCTGCATGTGTATGTAGAGCTCTCTGGAGTCGACCTGCTTGGCGCGCGACACCGTCTCCATTAGTCCTTGCTGGTGCTGCAGCACAAATAACCGACAGAAGAGAGAAAAAAACGGTAACAGAATCGTTATAAGTCAATTTTCACGGCCACAGATGATGCGCATGAGCATTGACAGTATTCACGATAATGCATATACATTCATTGGTATTTTTAGTCATCCGCAGACAAAACAGTCCAACAAGTAACGAAACGTAACTCTCAAGGGATAGATAATTTGCTCGACTTTGAGAGAAAGTGATTGAGAGAAAGAGTGAACGAGTGACTGTGAGAGAGAGTGAGTGAGAACTTGTGTGTGTGTGTGTGTGTGTGTGTGTGTGTGTGTGTGTGTGTGTGTGTGTGTGTGTGTGTGTGTGTGTGTGTGTGTGTGTGTGTGTGTGTGTGTGTGTGTGAGAGAGAGAGAGAGAGAGAGAGAGAGAGAGAGAGAGAGAGAGAGAGAGAGAGAGAGAGAGAGAGAGAGAGAGAGAGAGAGGGGGAGAGAGGGAGAGAGAGAGAGATTGTGAGAGAGAAAGAGGGTGTGTGTGGGGGGGGGGGGGGGGATGTACAGGGAGGGAGCACAGATGGATTGAGAAGTTGAACAAGATCACAGCCATGACAAGGAGAAGAGGGAGAGGGGTTTTGGCCTGTAAAACTCGTCTGTACACTCGTGTCTCTGGAAATACAGTAATTCCTGGCATGCGCAGAAAGAGACAGTCAAACTCACTTCTTGTGGAAATGCCGAAATATTAGCTTGAATAATGCCCTCTAGACGCTTGCTGATTTCCATCTGTGCCAAAAGTGGGGATCACATTCAGAAACAAAGAAGATCCTTCAAGGTTAGATTCTTCACAACCCAATATTAGCCCACAGACTCCCCAGCGGCAGGACTGAGGTGTTTCAGATATGCATGACGAGGTAAGAGTTGTCCAGACATCTCTTCACACTCTACGCATACGCAAAATGACCAAGGGGAGTTAAGGGCTGGTGATAGAGGGGCAGGGGGCTTGGACTACATAGTAAGCCCCCCCCCCCTCCTCTTTGCTTCTCCTACCTAGTACCCCCCCCCCTCCCCCTCCTCCCCACCTCAATACGATACCAGGACTAGCCAGTGCAGGCTGTCGTAATAAAACGACTCATCCGTGTTCCATTCCCGTGCATGGTACATGCATGGTGCGACGGCACAATGACAGCTGTCGCAAATCACACTGAGTATTACACGTGTTTTTTGGTGATTCCTGGTTAGCTGCTTGCTTTTCCCTACTCGAAGATGTTGCCGCCGCGAAATCTGGGGGTTTGTGTTCGTCCTGGCGAAAACCGTGTTTTGATCCGTTGAGGGAGACGAGAGATACAGTGCGAAGACGTACGATCTGTCCGAGAATCGGCGAAGAAGAAAGCTTCGCAGACGACCCGTAGTGGTTGGGAACAGAATGGAACATATACCAGTCGATGCCTGTCATGGTAGGGATGACTGCTACGAAGTTTTAGCCCCATGCTCCCCAGCGCTTTTTAGCGCCCAACGATAATTACCAAATTTCATCGATTTTCCATGTGGATCACTGCATAGTCTCCTCAATCTTGTCCAGTCGAGCTGAGTCTGGACGCTACAATGTCGAGACGCGAAAAGAGAACATGCATGAACACACAGGAGCATCACATGCAGCTGCATTCTGCCTTGACGAAGCTGAGAACAACACCAGCACCACGCATTTGGAAGACATTTCGAAGAAGACGAAGAACTACATATCTGCGTTCAAAAAAGCCTCTGTACTGTGCAGTATGCATGCGTGCATGCGCGAAACACGGGGTCCGCGGATCAACTTCGTTCAAAAATCATTGTGCCACACGGGTTGTATGATTTGTGTGCGATCATGGTCTTTCTTCTTGACAAACAAAAGTGAAGTTTTTCGATCTTCAAATCGCCATAGCGTCCTTGTCATGACTCCAAATCAGCTGAAACTTTGCAGGAGGAATGAAAATGCCATGCTGAATCGATTGGTACCATTTTCGAAGGGTTTCCTTGAAAAATAAAAAATTAGCCTGCACTGGCTACCAGGACAGCATGGTCAGCAACCCCCTCTCCCTTTTCCTACCCATCCTGCCCCCCCCCCCTCCCCCCATGCCCGAGCACGAATTTACACACTTCAAGGGACATGACTCATACCTGCTCCATGGGATGCAAGTACGAGCACGAATTTACACACTTCAAGGGACATGACTCATACCTGCTCCATGGGATGCAAGTATGAAGTTCAATTGCTCCAGGAAGTTCTCAAGTGTATCTCCACAGGATCATGGTAGGGGTGATCAACAATCACTCATCAATCTTGCCACATTGACACAGAGGCTGATAATGGTCAAGGCGATGCCCCCCCCCAGCCAGCCGTATGCTCACAAAAGAAAAGGCTTTCCTAATTGACTCTCTCTCTCTAACATCACTGTGGATCCCCAGGAGTGCACAGCTGTGATCCAGGTTCGTATAGGGCACAGTGACAAGTGGCACATGCAAGTACGTTGTAAGTCGCTGATAGGCTGGTCCTCAACTCAGTCAAGTGAACGCCACGCGCTGGGTGAAGTGATGGCACTTGCGGAATGTACCAGCCCTTTGGCCGGGCAAAGCAATTACCTTGACAGCCCCACCAAGAGCACTATGTTATGTAACAGAATACTCTAAATGACTCAAGTAGCATAGCCGGCGAGTGCCACCCTGGACACTTTAGGTCTGCAGTCTCTCGCCAATCTGGACACTTAATACTGCACCAGTATTCCGTAGCTCTGCTAATGACCTTGACTACTTGAAACAGCGCACTTTACAAAGATGATGCTCTCCAGTCTGCATTCCCCTCCCCTCTACACACATACATACACATACATTATGATATGCACAAATGCTGAGTCAAGTAAGGTGCATTCAAGGAGGTGGTGGTGCCCACCAATGATGCCCGGTCTGATGAAATGGGGTATCACATCGTAGCAATACACACAAACACTTGTCTGACATCTCAGACACTGCACTCTCCTCTGTAAGTGGAGTGTCACACTGGACAATGGTGAGAACACTTCAGAAATCCTCTCGCACCTAAATGAGCACTTGGGCTGCGGAATGTAAGCTGCAGCCCAGTGACCATTACACTCATCTTACACAAAAACTCAATCCAAATCCCCCCCCCCCCCCCAATATACACTACCAGAATGTCTTAGCCCAGACTGGCTCTACGGTGCCCTATCACCTCCCCCTCCCCCCCCCCCCCCCCCCTGCCCCCCAATATACACCACCAGAAAGTCTTAGCCCGAACTGACTGTATGGTGCCCTACCACCTCCCCCCCCCCCCCCCCCCCACTCCCACTCCTCCCCCACTACCACTACCAGGCCGGGTGGGGGGGGGGGGGGGCCCTACCAACCCCCCCCCCTCTCCCACTACCAGGCCGGGGGGGGGGGGGGGCTACCCAGACCAACTCTGTGGCTGCCAACACATTTTTACTGCTGAGGAGGGCAGATGTCCCTGTCATAGCACACAAAGCATGAAAGACTATGGTACGACTGGACCAATTGGAAATGGCTTCCAGCGGTCCCCATTACAATCTCACAGTCTGAAAGAGGAAACATTCCCTGGCCGTAAGCACTCTTCTCTCTCTCTCCACGTTGCAACGCTGTTCACTGTCATGGGGGTAATACACGTCCCATACACACAGCAGTGGACCCACGACTGGTATCTCCCGGTCTATCACATCAATGCACTTGTATCAGATACCGAGTTTGAGAAGGAAGTGGATCTTTTCCACTCTAAATCGACGGCCCATGACTACAGGCGTGTACCTTGGAGAATACTTCAAAGTACACATATCCAGGTATATCCTCTATTACGACCAGGGTATCATAGACAACAGGGTTTGATCACGACCGTTTACTATTGTGCAGGGTTAAACCACTTGGCTGATAAAGCAACAGATCACAGCATGCTGTGCCATGCAGCAACACACACGACTTCACAGCAATCAGGAAGACACACTCCACGCAAAGAGGATGGAAGCAACTGCAAGGGCTCTGGGTTGCAAGTGACGACACGTTGAGGACGTGGATGAATCGTAACTTGTTTTACTCATACACACCTGGTAACACAAACTCTCTAACACTCAGACAGGTATAAGAGCTCTTCAACGAGGACAATATTAGGTTTTCCTGGATTCCCAAAACTGCGTGTTGCAACAAGCTTTACAGAAGTTTCCAGTGTCACTTGAGTTAAGTTCACTATTCGTTAGTGTTAGGATTGTGGTAGCCAGTACCAATTTTGGTCAACGTGTACACTGCGTGATATCTCCAGGGAACTCTAAGGTTTGCTCTGACGTAAGTAGAGTACAGATGATCCCAGCATGGGAGAATTACTAGAGCAACATGAGCTGCACGCACATGTAGGGACAAGATACGTTCCAAGCAGCGTCTGCGTCAAAGCACAGTCTGGACGCACAATCGTTTGCCAAAGGGCACGTATCCAATGCCCTGTACATCCACATCATGTGATGCACATGCTGTACCTACATGAGTCATATCGTCAAAGAAGTGTCCTTGGTATCCTATTGCACCGCCCGGCACTTGAAAGTTCAGACATAGCATGTATACCCAATTGCACCATGTACAATTCCCTGGAATGAATGTTATGATTGCTACGTGACATTTTTAAAGCAAGCATTAGTGACCAAACTCAGCTGGGTATTCATGAATATCTTGCTATTACAAACTCCCGTCCAGGGTAAGTAATGATTCCAGTTGCTCTGGCTTACTCCATAACTGATAATTATTGCATTCCACACATACTCTGCAGTACAAATAAGGTGGAACAAAGTCTTAGGGCTGCAACTCCGAGATTCACGCTTGTTCAACATCATGTTAAATTGTTAATTCATAACATATTCAAAATTGCAAAAAAAATCTAATCCTGTTTGCTCTAAAGCGGTGCATAATTATGCCCTCTTCCTAGACCCATGGAAATAGAACACACTAGAACCACTACCCTGACCTCTGTGAACAACAGAAACCCAGGAGATAATGGCTCAACCATTCCAGTACATACTGTTAACCGCCCTGAAAATTCGCGTCACTAATTTTTCGCGATTTCTCATAACCAGCGAGTTTGCGATGGCAAACGTTCGCAAAGCACTGGGGAAAAGAAAATAAATCGAACATTAATCCGTGGCGAACATTAGGCAGTTCCCAGTACCCAGAGTCAAAGCTACATGTAAGTTTATTGTCTGCCCATACCACACAGGGCTAGAACAGCAATTCTCTGGGCTATGGTAAGTCCCAGCATCTTTTCAGACAATCTCAAGGGTACTAAGGATCTCAAAGTGCCATGTAACAGTCTGCGTGCATGGCCTACTCAGCAACACCCCTCAAGAGAGTTGGCCAACATCCAGCAAGCAAACATCAAGAGCTGGCCAAGAGCAATACTGTTATTCAGTATGTCCATACACTACAGAGTGCCTGGATTCCAAAGGGGGTCATCTTCTAATCTTCTGTCTGGGTAACTACTATCAACGTGAAGTTAATGATGACTCTCAATCTCACAAGCAGGTAATACTTGAGCTAAGAAGCCTAATTTCTGGCAATGCCAGAAGAAAATTCTTTGTCAGCGTCAGGTGGCCGGGTCCTGAGGACACAAGCCAATATTGCCTGTCGAGAAAATTAAGCAGCTGAGCCCATGCCGCCACCTTCTAGCATGACATGCTTTGCATATTTCTAGCCTATTGGCACTGGCATTGTTCCTGGCATTCCCCCTTAAGCCAAGCAGGTCA